TATTGGTGGAGAAGAAGGCGGACATGAATGCCGTCAACACAACCGGTCAGTCGGCTCTGCATTACGCGGCCTCTAAGGACCGGCTCGACATCGCTCGGTATCTGATAGACAGCGGCGCTCACATCAACCTCAGGGATAAACTCAATCAGGTCTTCATTTCTAGCGCTTAATTCACAACAAATTAAACAATTTTGTTGTTTTAGTCTTTATTATGAAATACTAAACGATTAACTCTTTATTTCATTGACATGTCTTCGCTGTTTAGACACCGCTTCACAGGTATTAATGATAATTGAATGAATGAATTGTTTGATAAAATATATTTATTCCTTTGAAATACAGGTCCGCCTCTAAGGGTAACCAAAAGATTGTTGAGCTTCTGTTGAGCCGATCGGACATTCAATTGAATCCACAGGACGTCGTCGGCAATACTCCACTGTATTGACAACATTAAGAACTATTTGTAAACAAATGTTTTAAACGTTTAATGTTTTAGGCATTTGTCGTGCGAAGAGGAGCGGACAGAAGTGGCCAAAGTGCTGATCAAAGCCAAAGCTCTGACTGACATCCAGAATAAGGTAACCATTGATTGCATACCAATAGTGTTTCGGTATATAATTTGTCGATTATTTTTAGGATAAAAAGTTGGCTTTTGATCTCTGTCTTAACGAATCAGTGAAGCGTTTGTTAAGTAATTACAGCAAAGAATGTCAACAAACTTAACAAACATTAGTTCCAAGCAATTAATTTCTCAACGGTTTGAATACTAATTGACTGCAAAAATATCACATAAAAATTGCTTTCATTTCATATCTATTTTGAAATATTTGTGAAAAAATTACTTTTACTAAAAGTTACCATCGGTTATGCATTTTAATTTGTTTTTTGTAATTTAATTTATTTATAAATATATCAAAAAATGTCATTAAAATTGATTTATTATTTTTCTATGAAACACAGCATTTAATGAATAGAAAAACTTTAATTAATAAAAACCTATATTTTCTTATAAAAATTACAATTATATTCGAGGTATGGCTTTGTCTGACACGTGATTTTTAAATTATGTCTTCTCAATCAAAACACTTAATAATTATAATAAGAATTAAAAGGTTTAACACAACAAAAAACATGGTTAAAAAGTGGATTCGTTGGATGGGATTAGTTATGAAAATGACTGAATGGTCGCGAAGACCAAAAGGCATGAATAAAGTGGTTGAAGAAGTGGTCAAATATCTGCACAGACGGCCGCTTTGCCCTTCAAAGAGCTTCTCCTTCTCTCGTGTCTGGACTCGTATTTAGAGATCTTCTGTTTGGCGAGTCTTAACAGTTGTTCAGAAGTGACCAGTTTTTGTGTCAAATCGTTGATTCTGTCTTTCATGAGATTCAGATCTGATTCGTGTGTTTTCTCCATTTGGATGATCTTTTTGGTGAGCTTTTCGTACGCGATCTCCAAGAAGTCGTAATTGCTTTGCGCTTCTTTCAGCTCTGAATTCAATTTCCTAATTGTCTCCAAATCTATATTTTTATTAGCGATTTGATTGTTTTGGTTGTTTTGGATGTTCTGATGATTAATCGTCTGATTATTCACTTCATGACAATTATTATTAACAATTAATTTTTGCTTATCGTTGTATCCATTCATACAATGATTATTCAGATTCTCATTAATTGATATAATTTTAATCTTTTCGATATTATCCTCGTATGAATTGGTCTTATTGTGGTCGACGTTGTCTTCATTGCTTTTGATGGTCTTTCGTAATTGGATTAACTCTTGTCGACAACAGACGAGTTCGTGGGTTAGTTGTGATGCCTGTTCACTGATGCCCTGCAGCTCAACGATCGACGCCTTCAACTTCTTCACATCACTTAAGGCCGCGTTTCGCCGATTCTTATCTATCCTTTCATTTGAATCCAATTTATTTATCCATTCAATTGTCTGCAATGTTTTCAAAAGATATATATTATCAGTAAATTGTTTTTAAAAGCTTTTTTTGTGTTTATGTTTTATGAATACGAAAACGATATTCAGTGTCTGACTTCAGTCAAGCATTGTTTGCGAGTAATAAAAGTTAACACAAAAGCAATAAAAACCGAATTGTTTGAAAATTTGTGAATTATTAGCAAAAGTAATCATATCTTTCTCTAAAAAGTTATTTGAACGCCAAAACTATCCATTAGTTACGCAAATATAACGCTATATTTGAGTTGTCTTTTGTCACACGCGGAAGAAGAAGACACTCAAACATAAATCAAAACTAACCATTTATGCCATCAAACTACCCGACTCTCTCTCTCTCTCTCTCTCTCTCTCTCTCTCTCGAACATAATATCTTATACTGTATTTAGAGAGTATTGGACTGAAGACTGGATATAAATAATAGAAATAAGAAAAGTATCGGAGTTTTGCTTAAAATAAAATATGAGTGAAAATGATTGCTTTGGAAGTTTGATGACCTCATTGTGTAAATCGATGTTTGACTTTAACTTAGAAAATGTTAGTTTGATTTTGAAAGCCTAATACATAATAAGTGCCACCAATTTTATGTATGCATTTTTCAATAGCATATTCTCACAGCTCTAACAAGACTTTTATTATAAAAAGTTTCAATTCAATTGTAAATTGTTTTACAAAATAAGATAATTCATTGCGAATATAATAATACATTATATTTTTATTACATTTCAAGCCTTTATCTCTGTTCGGCAACAAATGCTTTTATTTTAATTCATTAAAATTTATTATTTATTACAATCTGTTTGATTGCATACCAGAATTGTGCGGTCGGGGAAGAAGTGGTATTAAAAAGCGGGGTTTCATTATCTCGATCGCTAAAACTTAAGTGCTTTTTCTTTCCATTGATATCTGATTTGATAAGTTAACAGTAGTTTTGGAGAAAAATAACTTTCAAAACACATTTGATACAAATCTCGATCTTTCTGGTCATCCCTTTAATTTGGTTGTGTTTTGATTGAATTGAAAATATATAGTAAACGTTGGGATATGTTATTGAAGGGATTGATCATCAGAACAACTCTGTCACGAATGTAATTGAAGAGGACATGACATACCGGTGTTGTTATAAAACATGTGAAATAAGCAGTTTTACATGTATTGAGTCTCTTTGAGAGAACACTTCCTAATACTCCCTGAGTTTTTAGGGATGCAATCAATAGAAGAAATGAATGAAAAGAGAGGAATAGAAAAACATAACCAGTTTTTAGAAAAGTTACGATTCTTTATATGCGTTAAACTGCAAACACAGGCCAACTCTATAGGGATTTTCATAAATATTTCGGTTCACAGTTTATTCCTAAACAGTATTAACTTTTTTATGTTATGTTGTGTTCGCCGAGTCTTAAGAGGAGAACAGTTGGCCCAATAGTGGGATAGAGGGGTCCGAACACAAGCAATACAGGACTGGGGGTTCAGACTCTCGCAAGTCTACGTTAAAAGCCAATAAAGTTAACAGACTTAACACTTATGGGGATAACACTACCATTTGATAGAGGATTACGATTATGATTACGATTGCAAACAAATGCTTTATATTATGTACAGTATTGTCAATAGTTTACTATTTGATAAATATATAAATATTACATTTTATGACTATTTTATTATATACGTGAAAATTTGTCTTAAAATTAATTCTTTGGCAATAAAAAAAATTCACACGAATTACTGTATCGTTAACTCAATGCACTGTAATTTTCAGTTTAGTTAAAACCTGCTCTTATATAAAAGTCTATTAAATTGTTTAATTAATCAAAATATCTATTGATATTTGGGTTTAGATTACTTTATAAGGAAAAATAATAAGCATTTAAGGTCTAAACTTTTGACTGAAAAAATAGTTTAAAACATTTTTAATTATATATTCAAAAGCGAAATATTAATTGAAAATATCTGAATTGAATACAAATATCGGTTACAAATAAATTATAACCAGTAATAGAAGTAATGGTTTGTAAATAGACTGTGCGCTCAATACATAATTTGCAGATTAAAAATGCTTACAAAAGCACTCGATTCCCATACTATTCAATTAGCTCTGAGTTTAGGTTTTGAATGACTGATCAAAAGGTATTCAGTTTAAAGATATAAGATATTTACGTTAGAAATAACAAGAATAATATAATCATATTGAAATGTATATGAGATGAATACATGAATACATTGGAGGGATGAGGGGACGGGTGGGTAGTGAGGGATGCATATGAATGTTAACTAACCTTGCTCTTTTCGAGGGCATCGGCTGAATGCACTTCACGGGTCCGAAAACAGTTCTGGCATTTCGTTTGGACAAAAATATTAGGCGAAAACTTACGACAATATGCTTTCAATGTAGTCATAATAGTAATAACGATCCGCTCTTTCTCTGGACTTTTAGTTTCGGCCTATTTTTGCACTTTTTTATTGAGTTTTTGTGCATAACTCAGGCCTTCAAATAATTGGCTGAATGTATGTCTGAAGCAAAAGGTATGCTTTGAAAAGTATGCGGTTTTCTACGTTAGTTAAGCACAGGTACTCTACAAGTGCTTAAGCCTTAAGGCTATTATGAGAGGCCGGAGATTGCAATTTGTGTTTGGAGTGATCGTACGAGTGATGGCTCGTTGGCTCGTATTCTCCACAAACCAACACAACTCACAACTTCTTCACTAACTTTACTCACTTATGGACTCAAAATTAGTATTTATATTATTATTGGTTATGTTGTTTTGGTACAAACTTGAAGCACAAATTCACATACGTTTCCACATGAATGGTAGTAAAAAATGAGTTTATTATAAGATGTTATATAACGTATAGATTATTTGCGATTAAAAGCTACAGAATTATATGAACGCCCAATAAATATAACGAATAATTCACAAGAGGTTTGCTTTAAGATTTACTCTCTCTTCTCTTCGCATGTCTTTAGTCTCTGCTCTCGACTTACAGCCAAATTTCAAGGACTACTTCTCCTTATGTTTGGTCCCTCACTCTCTATCTCTCTTCTCAACACACTATACGATGCGATGCTCTCAAAGAATACATCAATTTTGAAGAATTTGCACACATTTTGTAGAGACAGACAAATAACACATCATTTCTTATCAATTCTTAATTCATAGCACTTTTGTATTGCTTTTCATTCAAATTGAAATCAGTTTAGAGTTGAATGGACTCTAACTCTATCACAATCTCTGCTCCAAACTCTCGATAACTCTTCACTCGATTGGTTGACAATTAAAATAAATATAAAACAATAAATCGTAACGTTTTACTCGATTAACACTTTAAGACACTTTATTTTCAAACCATATAAACTTTGTTTTGCTAAATCACTATTATTTTACAACATTGACTCTCGTCGGCACTTTTTAAATGTTATTTAAATCTTTTGTCACAAGTATTTTATTTAACAATTTATCGTAAACTTTATATATAATGAAAATAAGAAGTTATTGAATCCTTAATTATTATAAATTAATTGGAGAAATGATTAGCGATTAAAAGTCTTGTTTTATATAACAAGCGATTGGATTCGCGAGAGAATGCATTCATTCAATAGACTGAACACAAACTGGGAATCAATTCTCGCAAAAAACAGGACTAAGTTTTTGCTGAAATACATCGAAACGCCTTCACATGTGAAGCCACACCAGAACTGCTTCTATTGAACCGACATCTCGTTGCCTAAGAACTCAATTCACGTTTACTTTATGCTAATCAACGACTGTATTATGAATTGCTTACAACAAAACACAATACTTTTATAATATTATAGATTTTTAATAAAAACAAATTGTCTGATATATAAATATTGAATGTATTCCACATATAGAAGTGGTTTATAAATAGTTTAAATTTATATTAAAATTGTTATACAAAATATAAATGATTAATAGAATTGTGTTGAAAAGTATTATTTTAACACAATTTGTAAAATGATTTTAAAAGTGATGAATGTAGAGTGTTTGTAGTGGGAATGTACCAGGTACAATGCCATTATTTCAATTATTGAGAACATTCATTATTGAGTTTAGTTTTGTGTTCAATGTATTCATAAATGGGTTAAAATTGAGAGAATAACAAGCGATTGGATTCGCGAGAGAATGCATTCATTCAATAGACTGAACACAAACTGGGAATCAATTCTCGCAAAAAACAGGACTAAGTTTTTGCTGAAATACATCGAAACGCCTTCACATGTGAGGCCACACCAGAACTGCTTCTATTGAACCGACATCTCGTTGCCTAAGAACTCAATTCACGCTTACTTTATGCTAATCAACGACTGTATTATGAATTGCTTACAACAAAACACAATACTTTTCTAATATTATAGATTTTTAATAAAAACAAATTGTCTGATATATAAATATTGAATGTATTCCACATATAGAAGTGGTTTATAAATAGTTTATATTTATATTAAAATTGTTATACGGTACAAAATATAAATGATTAATAGAATTGTGTTGAAAAGTATTATTTTAACACAATTTGTAAAATGATTTTAAAAATGATGAATGTAGAGTGTTTGTAGTGGGAATGTACCAGGTACAATGCCATTATTTCAATTATTGAGAACATTCATTATTGAGTTTAGTTTTGTGTTCAATGTATTCATAAATGGGTTAAAATTGAGAG